TCTCCATTACTGAACTGCGGCATAAAGATTGCATTTAGACCTTTTGTCACAATACATGTCCTTATTTTTCCCTGAGTGGTGGACGAGATAATCTTGCCACAACCGCTCAGGCCTTTTATAGCGTTGTTCAAGAGCCATGGTTCTTGTACAAGTGCTATTGCTGTCTGCATCACAGCCATGCCCCTAGCTAAAATCGCTGAGGCGCCTTTGCTGTGATGCAAGTTAATCTGCACCACTGGAACTGTGAGACCTGTCATTTTTTATGCAGACTCTTTCGTTCCAGCGGCTTCCACCTCCCTTCCGCGTTCCTTGCCGGTCAACCTTACAGTTGCCCGGCCCATCCCGCAGAAGGGTTTCATTCCGCAGTCCTTTAGGGCCCTCAGAGAGGAGTCGCCGACAAGAACAGCGAAGTGGGCGCTTTCGGCGTCCCTGCTCTCGCTCCCCCTGACGACAACCCACTCGCTGGCTGCCAGTCTTGCGTTTTGTCTGTCAAGGAGTTCTACCGCCTTCTTGACAGCCAAATCCGGCTCCTCTAGGTGCACTACCAGCCTGTGGCGCTTCGGAAGCTCCTCAAGCGGCAGCACACGTAGTTCGTTCTCCCCTAGTTTTAAATCCGAGGATAGGCTTTTCAGCCAGTCCGCGGATTCTACATCGGCGCAACCGCAAATGATTGCCCCGTCTCTTTCCCAAGCTCCGGTAAAGAGGGGAGCCCTGGTGCCTCTTGGAAGTCCCAGGATCCTTTCCCTAATCAGTTTTTTAATGACTGCTACTTCTTCGGGTTTGATCTTGTTTTCAGGGTAACCCTCAATAATGAGTGCTACCCTGACTATACCCTTAGTCGCCTGTGCAAAAGTCCCCTGGTCACAGACCTTGGGCTTCTTGTCCAGGCGTTTTTCTGAGGGGCTGGGGGTCGTGAGATCCGGTCTGGGGCGCTTTTGCGTCCCTGATGGACCCGCCTCCCCCCGAGCTCCTATTACGCCTCCAGAGGCAGCACCCGATTCAGAGGTCTCTTCAGCCCTCTCCCTCGCCCGCTGCCTCTTCAGCTTTCTTCTCGCAGCCCCACTCATTTTCGGGCGTGGTTCTGCGAGTTTTCTTGCCGCGGAATCGGACCGAGCGTCGGTACTCGATCCCGCGTCGTTTCCTCCTTCTCTAGGTTCACTTCCTAAGGAAGCCACCCCCTGGAGAAGGTCATCTATTATTTGCTTATTTTTTTTCGTACTTATGTCCATTTTTTTCCCACGAGTACCGCGGTCGCGCGATCTCACCCAGGCAGAGCCGCGATTGCCCGGGGCTCGGCAGCGCACTCCCGGAGGTCGCCCGGTATCCGGGAGGCACCGTTCATGACACAGCTCCCCCTGTGCCACGCAGCCCTCAGCACGGTTGCTAACACCTTGGCTTGGGGGGTTCCTCTTAGATGACTGCGGCCGGGAAACATCCCTGAGCGGATGCCCCGACCGCAGCCACAGCCCCACCACCAACGTCAAGGTGGGAACCCATGCGGGGGGAATATAATTTAATAACAAAAATAATAAATTTTTATGAGAGGTGTCCTAAACTTACCTGTTTCTACACGTTTTGCCTCATTTGATGTAACAACAAGTGTATACATTTTATTATTTGTAACGTCTTGCAGAGTTACTCTGGTTTTGTTACTCTCGTTGGAAGTCATTTTGAAACACTATTTCACTTTAAGGTTTATATTGGAGGTTAGATTGCGTCGATGAAATCAACGCAATCTAACTTATCGTTCTCTTTGGAAAATAAGCGCTTATAAGTGCTCACGCCTTTACTGCCCTACCTCGATAGAAGAAGTGAATGTAAGCGCGAGTTATGACGTCACGCATGACGTCAATATGC